AAAAAAAAAACTCCCCCAATCTCGCAAAAACGTTTTTACGCTCTCGAGTTGCTTTTTTGGATTTTCCAAAAAAGAGTTAATGCACAAAACGGGAGACGGAAACACAGTTGCCGAATAAGTTCTGACGTAGCGAACATTTACCTCACAGGATTGATCAGCTGTTCCCGCTGTCGGCGTCTTCCCGGATATTCCCGTAATGAACAAAAACACGACTGGAAGCAACAACATGTACGTGTGGACCAATGAAGAGACCAAAGCATTTCACAACTTGCCTGATAGCAACACTTTCCTGAAAATGTCTCCATTTTCCCGAGATGTGTGGTCCCTGCTAATTTGCAACCTCTACTTCCTGTTTGTTACAGCCATAATGTCTGACAAAATTATACTTTGCGTAACCTGGTTGAACAAGGCTAATAGAGGTGCTGAAAAGCTTGCAGAGAATAAGGAGTAGAAAATATTGGATCTTTGTACCTTGTATCCTGGACCAAGCTGATGGATGGCAAAGATCTGAGCCGGGTTGAGAGCTTCACTGAAAACATAAATAGCACCCAGCTGACCGCAAAACACTCTGTTCGCATCTGCTGTCTCTGATGAACCCAGGAAACACTTATCATAGCTCTGAAAAAAGAAAGAGGCAGTAAACAAGAAAAGGTTCATTATAAATTACATACTAATCAATTCACTATTAAAATAGTCATATGTTTTTTTTCTTTTCTTATTTTGTTGCCAACATTCAGTAACAGAAAAGACAAACTTTTGAATCATGTTCCAACTTTGCAAACACCTGTGTCCATATTTCTTTCCCTCCTCTCGCCCTCCTGCAGCTCCATTCCCCCAACACCCTTTATCACAATGAGATCTGTCCTCCTCTACTCTTTCAAAATGATGACATGCGTTTTATCTTCAGCCTTCAAGAGAAAACAAACTGCGATAGCATCGACGCATTGGGAGACCTGTTCCTTCACCTCTTGTGAGTTTTTTTTTTGATGAGCCGCACAAACTCAAACATTTAACCTCGAGAGAGAGGAGCTCCTCGCAGACAACAGCAACCGTCACGAGCCGAACGGGGAGGGAGCGCAACAAAAAGGCCAATTAGAGTTCAGGGTAGCTGTCCCCTGCTAAATGGAAAAGTTGTAAGTTGGAGTTTGCATGAGTTGTGCTGGAAAGGAGCCCAAGGGCAACTCTGTCGAAGCTGGCAAAACGCAGGACGTAAACCTGAAATGTTTGCCAAGTTCACAACAAGGAAGGGAGTGTGAAGTAGAGCCAAACCAATACTGGATTTCTAAGAATTCCTACAGAAAAGTTAAACATTACTTGTTTTTTTTTTTTTTCCATTTCTTAATCGATGAACTAATTTGGTAAAAGAAAAACTCTCTCAGTRTCAACTAAATACAACATTAAAGGCCTTACATCGTTGGTGTTGACGTGCCAAGCCATGTCACCGTAGGAGACGAGCTGACCGTTGACATAGCAGCGGATCTCGGAGTTTCTCCAGCGATTGTAGATGTGCACGATGCTGATCATGTACCACTGAAAAACATGTTTTAAAACACATTATTTATTTATTTATTTATTTATTTATTTATTTATTTATTTATTT